CTGCCAGCCTTCTGGAAGTCATCAAATAGGAAGAGGACAGAGTTCCAGGGATAGGACAGCCTACACCCATGACTCACTTTGTCCAAATAGGTCCTACCACCTCACAGCCCATCAAGTACTAAATTTGTTGTAGTGATCCATTAGTAATGATGTTGCCCTCATCATCCATTCATTTCTCAATAGTGCTACACTCTAGGAACCAAGTTTTTAACATGCAAGTCTTTGGAATATTTCTAGTCTGTCTTAGATCAATTAGGATCCACCAATAGCCTTGGGGTTAAATGCTAGTGTTTGCCCTGAATAATGTTGGACAATAGTTGATGTAAGGAGTTCCAAGCCCTTCTTGTTCAGTGTTTCTTGCATAAAACTTATTTACTCTAGTGGCATTCCTATCCAGGGCTCCTTGGATTGCAAAACTGAGAATTGCATTTTCCCTACAGAACAAGAGATACATTTCAAGGAAGCACATGGGTAGAGCTATGGGTGGTTTCTTTTTCCATTTTCTTTTCTTTGTTACTGTTATGCTCTATTTCTTCTTGGTTTCTTCTTGGTCTCACAACATTAGAATTTTCTATGTAGCATTCAGACAGATAACTATCCAAGCCATTGCTCTGTATTTGTATTTTCAAGGAGAAACACAATGGAGATGAACTTGGAAAGAATTTTCTTTACCCCTAATCTCCTAATTTCCCTCCAATCATCTCTTCTTCTCAGAGTTTCTGATTAATGTTTAGAGGATTCAGATATCCTAAAAAAAGGAAAAAGGTCATTCATAACTTACATTATCCTTTACTCCTTCACTGAGAAGTAAGATGTTTCAAGTGACTAACCATATAAAGGAGCTCAGTTTCTTCCATGAGCTGTCCATGCTAAGGCCTTCCCTTCCTTGGTACAGGTGTTCAGCCTGTTCCTCCCACTTCTGTAGCATTGTATTGTTGGCCTGGATTCAGCTGTGTCATGACGGTTGGAAGGAGCATGGGGTTTATCTCCCTTGCCCCTTCTTCAGCTCAGAGCTTTCCTGCCAGCAGTTCCATGATTCCATGACAAAGGCCATGCATACACGATGGTACCTAGCTAGCTCTGTCTCCCACCTGGCTCCAGCAGTGCTACCCACGTTCTAACCCTCAAGCTTAGGACAGCTGGGTCTCCTTGCCCAGCTGGTCCCTTGGTTCTGCATCGTCTCTTGATATTTTCCCAAAGCTCTCTGGTCTTGTCACCTCCCTGCACAGTCCTACAGACTGTCATTCTATTTCCTGGCAGAGTCATGACAGACGTCTCATGTGTGTATTTCTCAGTGTGATGCCCCAATGACTAGGCTTTTCTGTTTGTTCATTTTGTTTGTAGGCTTGCTTTTCCCTGACACAGAACTAATATTCTGGAGGCTTCTGGTTCCTTCTCCCACAACAGGACTAGGTCAGGGTCTAATAAATGGAAAAATAGGCTTTATACAAGGAAGAGCTATTTTTATATAAAATTTTATATTTGGGGTAATGTTTTAAACTGCCTGGATGTTGGTGCTCTGTGTATTACTGTTTGGAGCTTTTCGAGTTGTCTTGATTTATACATTTGCTTAGATTCACTGTTTAGGTTTTTGCATCAGATTTGAAGAAGTGTGACATATTGTTTTCATGTATAGCTGGTTTTTCCAAATGGGCCAGGCATTGGTCTGTCATGCTCAGAGCAGTCTTAGAACCCCAGCAGGCATCATGAAGCTCTGGCTCAACAGGCCTTTCTTTTGCATTTTATCTGCTCAGCAATTGCTCTGTAGGCCTCCTGTTTCACTCCTGAACAATGCTAGCCAATGGTATAAACCTATCCATGATTTCTAAAATTATCCACTATTTCCGATGTGAAAACACCCACAATAGCTTTGGCCCTCCTTTATCTTACCCATAGTATCAGTTTTTGTCCTGGATTCCCTTTCCCAGAAAATGCCCTCTAGCCAGGTCTGTAAACACTTGAGAAGAGTTTTCTGTCATCCAGATCTACTCTGCCTTGATGATCACAAAAATGCCATTGCAGAAGCATGTACACTTCATTCATCTGCACATCCAGGATGAACAGCAGCGTTCATCCTGATGATGTGTCTACTGCTCAAGGAAGCCATGGGCTAATTGCCATGCAAACACACATGTGCCTCTTCCTTTAGCCCCCAGAATACCCCACAGGTAGATAGTTGCTATCCCTTCTCATTTCTTTGTTGGAATCTCCCCACCTGGGCAGGCATGTGGCCGAATTAGTGAGATGTTCACTCCTGTTCAATGCCCTAGGGCACAGGGGAGGAGAAAGCTGACTCTGCAGACTCCCAGGGAATCTCCACCAGTCTCAGAAGTCAGTACCTTCTAGCAATGCCTACAATGGCATATATGAATAGTCAGGATAGTGTGGGCTATGTGTATAGAAATAACACAAATCACCACACGTAACCTCTCATTCCCTGAATGAGAGACTTAGGATTTTTACATTGATAACAAGAATCAGTGTTTATGTAGCCGGCAAAAGACTGTATATGGTTCTTATCATAGACCTAGTTACATAATGGATAGGTACCAGGAGGAGGTTGGAACACAAATGTGAAAGATATCCAAAGAAGGTCCTTTGCTGATTTAGCAAGAGAGTCTGTCAGCTCAAAGGTCTGAATCATCTTGTCATGCAAGGCATGGTGCTCCTCAGAAGTGCATGGTTTCCATGGAACCCAATGGTCCAAGTAGGACCTGTGGCCAGGAGTGTTATAGGGACTTTGGGGAGGAAGGAGCTTCCCCTTGGGAAATGTGCCTTTGTTTATCTACTCATGTTCAAACTTGCTCTCAGATAGGGCACCTCCACATCCTCCCTCGGCCCACAGTCAATACAGAAGCAATGGAGATTGGAGGGAGAGCTCAGTTCCACCCACCTTAGGAAATTAAAACCATTAATGTTGACAGAAAAAGAGAAGGAATAGAGAACCACACTGCGGAGCCATTTCTGTTACAATAGATTGTAATTAGCCAGCATATCAGAGAAAACCACCACAATAATGTGCAAATATTTCCCATAGTACTTAAAGAAATTCTGTATCAAAAGTGCTGTCCCTTCTGAGGCTTGTGCCTTTCACGTAATGACTGGCTGAGAAGACAGTCTGGAGTCAGAGAGTGCAAAGAGAAAATACACAGTGTGCTCATCATCAGAATTCATCAAATGAAGACTCATCTGTCTTCATACTAAAATAGAGGCTGGGACTTTAGTCCTTGGATACGGAGCCTAACCTTTGGCCCCATGAGTCTCCCTTCTCAAGGGATCTCTTATGGCATCAGAAAGTTACTCACTCTTCACTGTTCAAACACTGATGTCCCAGGCCACATGGGAACCCATCACCACATGACAGATGATGCCAGAGCCCAGCATTCTGCCTTCAGTGAGCTGCAGGAGTCTCCACCACCATGGGAGAGTCTCCAGCATTGTGTGAGAGTCTCTGTCACTGTGTGAGAGTCTCCACCACCATGTGAGAGTCTCCAGCACTGTGTGAGAGTCTTCAGCACTGTGTGAGAGTCTCTGCCACTGTATGAGAGTCTCTGCCACTGTGTGAGAGTCTCTGTCACTGTGTGAGAGTCTTCAGCACTGTGTGAGAGTCTCCAGCACTGTGTGAGAGTCTGTCACTGGGTGAGAGTCTCCAGCACTGTGTGAGAGTCTTCAGCACTGGGTGAGAGTCTTCAGCACTGTGTGAGAGTCTTCAGCACTGGGTGAGAGTCTCTGCCACTGGGTGAGAGTCTCCAGCACTGTGTGAGAGTCTCTGTCACTGGGTGAGAGTCTCCAGCACTGTGTGAGAGTCTCCAGCACTGGGTGAGAGTCTCCGCCACTGTGTGAGAGTCTCCAGCACTGTGTGAGAGTCTGTCACTGTGTGAGAGTCTCCAGCACTGGGTGAGAGTCTCTGTCACTGTGTGAGAGTCTCCAGCACTGTGTGAGAGTCGCCAGCACTGTGTGAGAGTCTCTGTCACTGGGTGAGAGTCTCTGTCACTGTGTGAGAGTCTCCAGCACTGTGTGAGAGTCTCCGCCATTGTGTGAGAGTCTTCAGCACTGTGTGAGAGTCTCCAGCACTGTGTGAGAGTCTCCATCACTGTGTGAGAGTCTCCATCACTGTGCACTCAGCTCTTTTTCGGTGTCACTGCCTTGAACTCCTTATATCCACAATGACAACAAAGCACCTGCCATTGACTCTCAGTGACAAGAAAGAGCCCAGTCATGTGATCCTCCTACACAAGTATTCCTCTGTAATCACTAAAGCTGTTGTTGGCATCAAGGGTCCTATCCAGATGCCTTACCCGTCCCTTTCCACTCTGAACAGCTCTGCACAAGTACCCTACAAGTTTGTCCATCCTTGGCAGCACAGTCCTCCAGTGCCCTTAGTAGCTGTCACATATGGTCATAAGCATATGCCAAGCCTGTCCTGGCCAGCATATAAACTCTGAGTGGTGCTTACAGCATAGCCTTGGCCAGAATAAGCCTGAGAACTATAGCAGTCTCATTACTCAGAGCCACTTAGATGGACGTGCCTGACATCAACCATTGTCATGTTCAAATAACATTTGGGCCAAACCAGGATAAATCCCTCTTGGACTTCTGTTGTTTTAGGGTGTGTAAAACCATCCACCAGATGTGTACATCTGTGGAGTTTTCTTATTCCTCAGGTTTCCCACATTGGTGGCTCATTCCGCCAAACCCTCATTCCGGAGTCATTAGCCTTTATTCCTCCACCTCCTCTTCTTACTCTTCTTTTCCTCTTCCCCTGATCCTCATTCCTCCCTCCTTTTCTCTCTCTTCTTCTCTACTCCATCCTTCTTGTCATCTCTAGCAGTGAGCTACGCTGCATGGCTTTAAAATATTCCCACACAAACTGCCAGTTTTAATTTTTTTAAATATTTTGAAAACGTTATGATTGCCGCTTGGGATGGGATCTTGTGTTTTCAGGTTGTTTTTTGGCAGCTTTACCCTTTCTAACACCATTGCTTGTGTTTGCCTTCCAGACCAGAAATCTCACTGTGGATGGGAGCTTTGGCCCTTGGTCTCCTTGGACACCCTGTACACACACGGATGGCCCTGCTGTGGGATCCTGCCTCTGCCGGTCCCGCTCCTGTGACAGCCCAGCTCCACAGTGTGGTGGATGGCAGTGCGAGGGACCCAGAATGGAGATCGCCAACTGTTCCAGGTGTGTGCCTCGGGTCCCTCTAATGTGCAGTCACATGTCATCTCGGAGTGTGGTGAGATCTGGGCAGTCACTCTTAATACAAGCCATCCGTTTAGCAGATGAAGGTGGCAGAAAGGGAGGGATACCCATCACTTAACTATTAAATCATCTGTGGAAGAAATTTTTAAACTGTAAGTTACGTTGTAAACTAAAATTGCTTATAAGCTCACAATTGGATAGGTAAACATTACTAATTTACTCAATATAATTGGCTTCTTTGAGGGAAATGACCTGTAACTAATATCTTTCTGAAACATGTGGCCAAAAAAACCCTACTGGTGGAACATGATGCATTATCTAGAAGGAATCTTTGCTCTATGCAGTGGTAGATCAGAACTCAACATACCCCAGCTCTACCGACTTCAAACCCTTGGTAACCCGAACAATGTGCATGTCAGGATCCACTGAGGTCATTTGAGCTGCCTCATGGTCGTTTCTCACTGCACTTGCTCGTCCTGCCTGCTTCCTCTGTACACCATGTCATCAGGAGAGCTTCTTGAATCCATTGCCAAGTTCCTTCCTCACTTGATTATTAACAGGCCATTTCTTAAAATCTTACATGCTTCTCAGAAGTCTAAAATGCAGAAACAATGAGGGGAAACTACCTACGAAGCCACTAGCTGAAGATAGGTTGGGATAATTGAATTGCATGAAAGGCAGGGAGACCTAACATGCCCGGGAAGGGTGGTCAGAGCAGCATGTGCAGACAAAAAGAAGGCAAGGCTTGTTTTTGTCAGCTGTTTTCATAGGGTGAGTCCAATTACCCCCATACAGTTTAAAGACGCCAAGGAGGGCCACAAAGATAAGGCTGTATAATAAAACAGAGAACACAGGTGTGTCAATATTGTATCTTGCTCCACATAATTTCTATTCAAGGAGGTGGATTCCATGAGTGCCTGCCGTAGGTTACTGGACTTATTTTGAAGATGACAAGGATTCTGTTTCTTGCTGTTTCATTACTAAAAGACTGGATCTCTGGGCTGAAATTGTTTGTCCCTTAGCCTGCAGTTCCTGTTGGAAGATCACCCTCTAAACAAGCTTACAGTGTGTCTTATTTCAGATTAAAATCATAAGTAAGTCGGCCTGCTTCAGTGAAGCTGTGGAAGTGTAGGCACGTGGCCATGTACTGACTCCATTGTAAGCCTCTGCCATCCTCTCTGTCATTACTTCATGGGGCTCTGTGGTTACCTGCAACTGCATCTCAGCAGCTTCCAGAAATGTGCAAAGCTAAGCTCATATAATAAAGACTTACTTAGAAGCTTGCCTCACTTATTTCCCAATTTCTGATAGTCCTGTTAGTTTTAGACACTTTTATTTACTTACTTTTGCATATGCAACATGGTCTTCAAATTATAAATCACATATATCATGAAGCTCCATGTATTTTTAAAGCTTAGAAAATTAAAATTTTAAAAGTAATATTAAAATCAGTGTGTTTCTGTGTTATGTAACAATTGTCTTCATAGGTAGAAAAAATTTAAAAGCAGAAATATGTTGTTGAGGTTGAAGTTAAGTTGTAAAGTTCTAATAATCTAGCGAGTTACTTTGACAGTATGTAGGGCTGTTTGCAATAGGAGCAGACAGGGCTCAGAATCTGAGCTGACTCGACCAAATGCTGAATCATTTCCTCTCCTGCAGGAATGGAGGCTGGACTCCCTGGACCTCCTGGTCGCCCTGCAGTACCACCTGTGGCATTGGCTTCCAGGTGCGGCAACGCTCCTGCAGCAACCCCACCCCCAGGCATGGAGGCCGTGTGTGTGTGGGTCAAAACCGGGAGGAAAGGTAGGTGCCAGTCATGTTCTTATGCCAGCATCCTCATGCTTCCCGCCATCCCAGTCCAGCCAGTTTCACTTTGGGATCTAGCTTAGTTTGTCTATGGCATTCCTCTCTTGTTAAGGTTAACCTGTACCTTACTTTTCTGACATCCTTCAGTTCTGGTCCTGTGTCCCTGTATGCTCCAACTGGCCCAGGGAATCCGTTCTCAAGTCACTGGATGCTCAGGAGCCAAAGGCACCTGTGTGCTGGGCTTCTGTGCATCCAGAACATGAGCTTGCTGGAGGATGGCTGTTGAGATAGTAGGTTAGTCCTGTGTCAGTGACTGCAAACCCCAGCAGGTCCTGGTGATAGGGCAGGTAAGATAAAGAAGTTCCGATCGGGCTGAGGTGCAGGAAAGCGAGAACACCTGGAAGGTTGTGTCTCTCTACCCTCTAGTCTGTGAATAAACATCCCACCTGAGCTGCAGACAGTAGCAGCCACAGTGGACATTGCTTTCCATGAAGACATTCACTGTCTAGAGCTCTATCAGGACGTTTCACCTTAGACTTGACTGCCACAAGGTGTTTTTATTGTTTTGTTATAGAATAACCATTTTGCCTTAACTCCAAAATCTACTCTCTGTTCTTTTTCTCTCCCTTGCCTACTGAATGCGTATCCCATTCTGACACTATTGAGAGTGAAAACTTGTAGGTGAAGTTCACGTTACTTTTAGGACATCACACATACACACATGTACACATGCGCGCACGTGCGCACACACACACACACACACACACCATCCAATTGAATGGCTTCCAGTGCCTTTTAATAAAAAATGTGAACTCCTGCTCAGTGTCATGGGTTCAGGGAGTCCCCTAAAAATGCCTTATTCCTATGTGGCCATGTACTTCTGTAAACAGAGGATAGACACACTGGTTTGTTTTCACGCAGTTTTGAGGTCTTGAATACATCTTGAAAGCAATTAGAAAGACCATTTTGCTTCTTCCTCCACCCAGTGTCTTTCTTACTAGTTAAGATTTCATTCCTTTTGACTAGAAAGAGAGGAAGGCCACTGTCAGGTACAGAAAGGATTTGCCACTTTTGAAGTGGCCCTGAAACAGTCTTGTGCTGGTCTGCAGTGTTCCATGTAGCACCAGTTGATAGGTGAGGAAGCTGAACATAGAGAAATATTCCTTGTACTTTTCCCTAGGCTTGTAAGAGTTTAAACTAGTTAGAAGGATTTTAAATTGTCACATTGTGTATCCCATTTGGGCAAAGTCACTTCAGGCTGTGCACAAACACTTCTATGGCATCTAGGCACTCTGCACACACCCTCTCCTTCCCCTGGCTGAACAGACTGGAAGGACAAGGCAGCCAACCTCTGTGGCCAAACACACCATGTTCTGTCTGTACGCCTGACTTCATAAAGTCACTTTCAGAAAAGGACTTTAAAAGTTATGACTAATGTGTTTGGGTGTCTCACACCTAACATGTTCTTCATTTATATGAGGCATATTATGGGGTGTTAGATAATGGATTGTTTACTAGAGGAAAGCTTTTTACTTCGAATAACAAAGAGATAGATAGTAAGAATGTGGAGTATGTATTGTTTTTATAAACTGATGCCTCTCTGTAACTATGCTTTCTGGAGAACTACCAGGAATTGCAGAAAAGCCAAATACTTGATGTACCTTGGTCTCTGTTAAACAAGCAGTTCTTATATCTCTTGCCCTGTTATATGGGGAGATCACACATCAGAGAAACTTCATCCTGATCCAGGCAGTGGAGATAATTGATTATTGGATTAAGGGAGTGTAGGGTACAGGATTCCAGGAACAGCCATAAGAAATGATTAATACATTTTATGGTATTTAGATAGCATTAAATTCAAAGAAGCCCAGAATGGCAACATCTAAATGAATCAATTCTCTCCACAAATTCAATTAATGCCAGCAACAAAGTTAATGATTTATACAAAAAGTTTTCAGTGTGTAACTCAATCTACAGCGAGTTTAGCCTTAAGAAAAATCTCCTTGGCTTTTCACATCTCTTTTTTTAACATGTGCAAGACAATATATGAATACTCTTTTTATTTTTGATGTTTCTTTGGAATGGGTTTCTTGAAGAGCAAGAGCTTACTGTAGGTACCGGTTTTCCAGAGGTCAGCAACAAGATGGGATGAAACAGACATTGGTACAAGCATAAAAGTGCAGTTGAGTTTGTTTTCTAATGCTCTGTCACTGTGGCTCTGTTGACTCAAACACAAACAACATGCAGTTATTGCCCCACTCTGTCAGAGGAGCCTCACGCCAAGGTCTCCAAGTTGTCAGCCAGATACTACCCCAAGCCCTTGACAACCTAGCCTTCCTAGCATGGCCTCCATCTCACCTCAAACTGAACATCTGGACTAATTACCATATTCACAAGACACAGCCTTGTCTGGCCATAATGGCCTAGTAAGAAGGAGATCATGCGCTCTGCCCACACTGCAGAGCAGGGGATTGTAGCATAATGGAGCTGGTTTCACTAATGTCACTTTAGAATGTATCTATCGTGGACAATTCTCTGTCTTCAAGTCACTGACACCCTTCCCATCTGCAGAATGCTGCTCATCTATTTACAGGGCTCCTGGTGTCATACTCCGTTAAATTATATTCCCAAAGCTCAAAGAGCCACTGCCTAAGAAAGATGTACATGAGGCTAGGTTGTTGTAGCACTTCTTTGTCTGTCAATCTCCATCCAAAAAGATAAGTTACCTGTCATCAGCATTCACACTATACAGCAGTCGGGGTGGCCAACAGATGACAGCTACGCCTATTCCTTTTAAAAAATGGAAGTGGGAGTCACTAAACATTTTATCCACAGGAATCCTGCAGTGTTGACAGGTGACTATTGGGAGTTGCTAATGATATGGGTATCCTGCTCCATGGACCTTGGGTCAGCCTTGTGGGCTCTTAGATCAGTTTCCTGAAATATCTTCCCTTTGCCATAAAGGCAGATGTTTGAAACTGGTGAAACTTGCATCAGCCTCATTCCTCTCAGTAGATTTGAGCTACCAAATGGAGCTTCATTCGCAGTTCCTGTTTCTTTCCATCTATGTTGCTGAAATTACTCTCTGATTAACTTTAAAAGGCTTAGGTAAGCCTCCTCGGGATTTGCTCTTCTAAACCAAAGACACAGTCTTTTTGTGACAGCCTTTTTCTGCCTTGCTGTCCTATTGAAGTGGCTAGAACACCACAGCTGGCAACTTGCTGGGCTTCTTCTGTGAGACTTAGATGGTCCCTGAGTCATACCCTTGTTCTTGGACTCTTTGTGCATGCTCACACTTGGCCCCCATTCTTCAATCTTGCCCATGTTTCCTCAAGAAGTTAAACAGGCATGCCCCAGCTTTGCTTGGCATCAGATGGTGGTTTGCAAAAGGATGGCTTCTGTGGACTCCTATATTTGAATGCTTAGTCATCAAGGAGTGGAACTCTTTGGAAGGATTAGAAGGATTAGGAGGTATGACCTTGTTGAAGGAAATTGGTCACTGGGGGTGGGCTTTGAGATTTAAAAAGCCCATGCGAGGCCAAGTCTCTGTCTCTGTCTCTCTCTCTCTCGCCTATAAATTAGAATGTAGCTTTCAACTATGATTCCAATGCCTGCCTGCATGCTGCCATGCTCTCCACCATGATGGTAATGGACTAGATCCCTGAAACTGTAAGCCAACCCCAATTAAGTGCTTTCTTCTATAATTTACCTTGGTCATAGTGTCTCTTCCTGGCAACAGAACAGTGACTAAGACATAACACTTGAGTGCTTGGGAGCTATTTCTTAATTTTAGATTTTTTTTTGCCATCAGAAAAATCTAATTCAAGTACCACCTGGCCCTTGTTCTTTTCACAATCTACCCCTTGTTTTTTTAATCTTTCGGTACTGTGAGCTGCAAGAATCCAGTAATGCCTTAACACTTTGATTTGAAATGTCCTCATCTGTGTAACTTCCTCCATACTTCTATGTCCTATTTCTCATATCCATATAGATGACAATTTATAGGCACATTCTACTAACTACTTACTTAAAAAAAAACTGTTCCATTTTCTTTTTACATTTTTTATTATGGTAAATTATAAACAATATAAATTAGCCACTTAGCAGTTTTAAGTGAAGAATTCATTGACATTAATTAAACTTGCATTACTGTGCAAAAACATCATAACTCCCCATTTCCAAAACTTTCTCATTACCACTAAGTAATAATATTTCATACCATCATTCTCCAGCCCCCTGGAAGCCCTGCTGACTATTCAACCCATTAATTTACTTATTCTGTGTATTTTATGTATTTGGAAATTTGTAATGCCTACGCTTTTGTGTCTTGCTTGCTTTACTTAGCACAATGTTTTCAAGCCATAAGTGTTGCATCTTATATCAGAACTGAGTCCCTTTTCTTGCATGGCACACAGCTGCATTTCCCTTGTTCAGTTGTCCATGAATGGACTCACGGCATTTCTTTCCCTTGCCTGTTTAAACTGTGTTAGTATCAACACTGGCTTATTGAAGTTCTGTCCCAGTTATTGTGTGCAAATATCTATGAGTGGAAGTGATGGTTGTATGTACTGTTTTAGATGTCAGGCTACTGTCCACTCCAGCTTCGCCATGCCTATTCCCACCACAGAGCACAAGAGTTTTGGCTTCTCCACAATCCTACCAATGCTTATTATGTCCGGGTTGGGTTTGTACCATCCTACTTGACATGAAGAAGTCGTTTGGATTTGGATTCCACCAGCATCTACATGATGCTGAGTATCCTCTCCTGTGCTTACTATACATCTGATTGGAAGATGTCTCCATTCCTCTGGTTTGCCTACTTTCTAGCTGAGCTACCTTTTTTGTTGTTCTGTTGTAGTTCCTCATTCTATTTCCTGTGTAAATTTCTAATACGTCATTTGAAGTGATTTAGAATTTCCCCTGCCTCTGCTTCTCAGAATTCTCACTTCCACCTATTTCTTGGTCTCAGAGCCTTTCCAGCACTTTTTTTGGTGCCTCTTACACTAGCACTGGGTTCCACAGTACCTGGTCTGTTTCAGAGTGCACATTATGACTACAAACTTGATGGTGTAAATTGCTTGTGCATCTGTGAGTTCCTAGCCTGGACACAATCTTCCTACCTCTTTGGAAGCAATCTGTCAGGAGGCTGCAATAAAGGAGTCACAGCTTTGTCCCCTGAGGAACACCTGGACCAGGGTCTGCTTCTGTGTTTGTGCCGCTGTGGGCAGCCTTCCTGTCTGAAGGGCTATCGGGCTGGGGACCTCAGCTTCTTGGTGCATCTGAATTCAAGGCCACCATCAGGCCCCTGACTTACCATATTGTTTGCTTCTTTAAAGTCAGAAGAGTAGGTATTCTTGAAATAAAGCTATTTCAACATTTATGTGTCATAACCACAGAAGGGACACCTGCCTGTCCTGATCCCTGTAAGTTACACCCATATTCAGGGGAGTTCATGAGTTGTGATTTCCTAAAGGTAAAGAGCATGGGCTCATATCAGAGATTGTCCAAAATGTTATCAAGTTAAGGGTCTCGGGGGCTAAGGAGATTGTATCTGACTCTAATGTTACTGGAAATGTTATTGCTCAGTGATGTGTAATATGGAAGTTTCTACTCTCTCCTATGTGCTGTCTTAAACATGGTGTGTTTAATAGGTATCTAGTTATCTGGTGCCATAAAAGACTTAATTTTTCTGGTATGTTTCTGTGAACCAAGTAAATATGAAGCAAGAAAAACAGTTCCCCTCATAGGCCTCCGTTAGGTGGGGCTAGCAAATTGTCATGAGGAACCAGCATAGTCTCAACTAGATTAGAAGGAAATATGATAAGACAGTCAGTGCTGTAAATCTAGCCTCGATGGGATTATAGAATATCAGTATTTTTAGAGAAAGTAGGTTTGTGGAAAACTGGATGATTTATAGGAAGACAATGTTAGGTTATTAGTTAGCTTTTAAATGTAAAATAACAGCAATCATGAGAAAATTAAAATCTTAATTTTTAATGCGTCATAAAATGTGCCTGTGACTTTCAGACACTGAAGACCCAATAGAGACAGTAATATGCTAAAGGCATTAGCCTGTTTTTTTAAAAAGCCAGAAGACTGGAGAAATGGGAACTGAATGCTGGCCCATTGGGCAAATATTTATCCATAATTAACAATGGTCTGAACAACCAGAGATACCAGTATGACTGCTGCTTGTACAATTCACTAAGGAGACTATATGTATGGGCATGGGTTAGGCAAGGGGGCTCAGAAAGAAAGTGTGTTTCACATCACGGAATAGAATCCAGACTGAGGGCCTTGGCAGGGTCCAGACTCTAACCAACCACACTAATTTGGAATTCTGCATAAAGAGACAGCCCAGCCATTTCTGTTTCCTTCTGACCATCCTTATTAGGGACATCACCTCTACAAATCTCCACGTAGCTTGTTTCACAGGAGAACTGTGGAGAGAGAATGAAAGAAAATGTGAGGTGGGCTGTTGGTGGCCGTAAGTCCCAGCCCAAGGGATAGTTGATTAACACTGGTTCAAAGTCCAGAGTTGCATGTGCAGTTAACCTTGCGGAGATTTTAACTGTAATAACAAGCTGAGCGCTCTCAGAGGTGGCCTGCTGCAGGCGAATACAAGAAAGTATTTGTGCACACTGATTTATTTGGCTCTGGGGATGTGGCAGCACTGCTACTGTGCGCTTTATTAAAAGTCAAGGGTTTTATAGGCATTTTTAGTAGGATTTCCTGTGCCTTCTCCTGTGTGTGTGTGTGTGTGTGTGTGTGTGTGTGTGTGTGTGCACCCACATCGGTGTTCACTGAAAATGGAAACTAGGGGAAAGCAGTGTGAAAAACACATACATTTAAAGTATCAGTCGGCTTATGAATGTGAGATGTCTTCTTTCTCTTGCTGGCCCTCTTGTGAGCTACATGTGGATATTTTGAATTAAATGTGCAATGTTCTGAATTTTCTTGACTTCTCAAAACCTGTTCTCAAAATAAATAGCTGCTCCTTCCTGGAACTCTCCAAGCACTGGTAACTGGCATATACATGAAAATCTACTTACTGTACTCCAGAGCTCTCTCTCTCTCTCTCTCTCTCTCTCTCTCTCTCTCTCTCTCTCTCTCTCTCTCTCACACACACACACACACACACACACACACACACACACACACGTGTGTGTGTGTATGTCTCTGTCTGTTTGTCTCCCTCTGTTTTTCTCTCCCCCATGTTTAAATAAACCCTTCTCCAGATGGACACATTAGAGTATCCAGTGTCTTTGACCCTAGGAGCCCAGGCATCAGGAGTATGTGCCGCCCTCTTTAGAGCAATACCACATATTTTTCCTGTGGTAAATACTGAAAAGACAAAGAGTGACAAATACACAGAACCATTGGCTATTTGATATGTCAAAGTGTGTAGATGCTAGCCTGCTATCTTGGGTAATACTTAAGTATGAAGAGGCTCCTCCGGGAATGGCAGTGTCCTCTGCCTCTCCCTGGAAGTGAGATGCTGACTCTGGAGCCCACTGCTTATTCTTCTGTGCATTCATTCACACAGTTGCTTTATGATGTTTCCACCATGCCCAGTGCCATCCATTTCTCGTCCTCTCCATCTGTCCACACCGCCCTATCTAACCTACAGTGCTTCTCATTTTCATTGCGGCAACCCAGACTCCAATGGTTAGTGTTTACCACTTCCTGCTTGTGACCTCCCCTGAGGTCCAGGCTCCTAATGAACTCAGAGGGCTTCTCAAGTCTTGGGACTGTGGCCACCAGTGGGATGAGGTGCCAGCCATAAAGGAGGAGCCTTCAGTCTCACTCTGATGGTTCTATTTGGCTTGCGGAGTTCTATGAGGCTTTCTTTAGTTTTTTTGGTATTTGGCAAAGGTGGATCATTCCATCTCGTGTCATCTCTTTCTGTTCTCCTTTCAACACTGTTACCCTTCCTTGCTTGCCTTTCCCTTTGTGCCTTTAACTAACATCCAAAACACCAGCAACTACTCCCTACACCTCATCCCAGCATCATATTCTACCTTGACCTTGACCTTTCCTCCACACACCGTGTACTCATTCCCAAGGTCTCCCGTCCTCCATCAGGCTCCCGTCCATTTTATGGAAGACAGCTTAACCCTACCAGAGTATCTATTGAGAAATCACACAGTTCCTCTCCAAGGATTATTCTCACCATTCCTCATCTTTTCTGCTTCTAAACTCACTTTAGCCGGAGTTTCAAGTTCAATTTCAATGTACATTAAATGATAAAAGTATCACCATGAATCATGATGGTGTCTTATGCTGTGCACATTTAGAGAGTGTGTCTGCTCTCGTTATTTATCTGAGACTGTGAGCACCTATTCAGGAAGCCCTCTGTGACTCACGTTGCACAGCACTCTACAAAATCCAGTTGTTACTCACAATGGTGACATGAGGGTCACTGGCTTAGGCCCAAAGGTCTGAGCACTCTACAAAATCCAGTTGTTACTCACAATGGTGACATGAGGGTCACTGGCTTAGGCCCAAAGGTCTGAAGCTCTGTTGGCTACTTCTTAAGGAAGAGATGGCCTTGCAAGTGAGAAAGTTGTGGGGAAAATGTCTTATGTTTTGATACTCCTGAGATGGTAAGTTAGACTCAGTAGGCAGACAAATGAATGTAAATAGTCCTGTAAATCACCAAAGTTGCTATTAAATTTGGCTACATTCCACAGTTAAATTCTTCCTCCATGTGTGCTACCACGTGTAGAATGCCAGTCCATTTCCTCTTGTGTTTGTTTCTTTCACTTCACTCCATTTCGTATGCAATTGTAAAGACTTCAGAGAAATTAAGTCATCACAGGGCCAGAGAAGAAGAGGGGTACTTAACTTCAAAACTGGCAAAGTGAATGTCTATATATAGGTACAGGAATTAGCATCTGTAAAATAGTTCTAACGTTTGTAAAAATATAGTAATCAGATATTTAGTCATCTGTGCTCTTTTAACTGGAAATCACTTAAAGTTGTTCTGAGAAACTAAACGAAAAACTTAAAAACATAAGCTCAGTAGCCAGTGTTGTGAGCCTTCAGACCAAGCTAATGCTTTAAGTCTTTGTCTTCAAAAGATTATCAACTTACTTGACTGAAAGATAAGAAACTCCAAGTGAAGCTGTGCTGACTTTGAATTCATAACCTACGCTATCTTTTGATGTTTATGCCTAGCAGATAAATGTCCTACCTCGATATTTTCTGTTTGCACCTATGTTGGGGTGTCTATTGAAGGGTTTTGTTCTGTCTCGTTTCTCCTTTACTTGGCTGCACAGGAAGTTCCATCCTGCATTGTGAGTTCAGCATTCTCTTTGCTGTCTGCCATGAATCCCATTGTCTGTGCACACTCAGCATGGCCAGCACCCCTCTGCCTCCTGTATGGTGCAAGCACTCCAGACACAGAAAGCCCTTCATGCAGAGCATGCCTATCTGTCCAACATCTGGCACAGGGATGGGAAACAACATGGCCGGTGGCCTCCTGTGGCACTCAACAGTCTCCTTTTCCTCTGGGTTTTCCTTGTTACAGATACTGCAATGAGCATTTGCTCTGCCCACCACACGTGTTCTGGACAGGCTGGGGACCATGGGAACGGTGCACGGCCCAGTGCGGGGGTGGCATTCAAGCCCGCCGTAGGACCTGTGAAAATGGGCCTGACTGTGCAGGATGTAATGTGGTAAGTTACCACCTCACTCCCAACCCACAATCCAGAGCCCAGTACCCAGACTCAAAACCCCCTGGAAGTTCTATGCATGCAAGATGCTCCCAGCATACTAGAAGGTCAACACTCTTAATAGACGTTAGCACTAGGCCATGTGCACTCATAGTGACTATGCTCACACTTGACCCACGGCGAACACTGATGCATTTTACACCAGATAGCCTGCAAATCTTTATGCTCTACAGAACCTGCATGTTGTATAGACATGAAATGGGCAGACATTGAATGCTCCTTTTTGTGATCTCACACACCGGCTCCTCTTTAAATGTCAATTCTGCTGCAGACACCATACCTTTTATGAACATCAAATGTTCTGTAAATACTAGATCTGTTTTGTTCCAGTCCCCCAGGCTGTGAGACTTTAAAGCGTGTACAAGTACCTCTTGTTAATGAGAATGTGGAGGGCATGGTGGAAATTTAAAGTCACCTGAATTAAGTATTGACATATGGAATAAACTGAGAAATCTTCTAGTTCTAAGGAGCTGTGGCAAAATCTTGCACCTAGCAAATTTTGGTCACTCTGATTGGTCTAAGGAAAGGAATGATTACCCTGTGCTGGGCTCCCAGGCACACAGAATACAATGTGGACGTGACACTGTGTGGTGACAGAGAAACTGGCACCATTGTCAAGGTGAGTTGGCACACATCAGAGGGAGTAAAAGACCACTTACTGGTTTTGTTTTTCTTCTGCCTTAGTAGCACATATTTCTTTTAACATTTTAAGCTGACAAATAAAACAACGTGCATGGGATGTTTTTCCAAAGGCCCATTGTTGTGCACCCTGCTTTTCTCTTAGGGTGGCTATGCACTGAGCCCATGCTGGCCACAGTCTGGGTGAGGCGGGGTGGGGAGTGCTGGGTGGAGACACTCACCGTGGGACGTGCTGGCTTGACATTCTCCAAGTGACCTTTGCAACTAGGTTTTTGATACTTCCACCCTCGTTTCCTGAGGCTAACCAATATCTTTTATGCTGCTGTGAAGCTTGTTTTGTGAAATGTATAACCAGAGAAACTCCAGAGAGTCAATGGGACTTTGGAACAGGCAGAAGGTTATGAGGTGCTGTATCAGGTCTTAGACCAGACAAGGAGGCTTTGCTGGCTAGGATTTGCTAGTAAGTTTCTTCGTCCTCACAGTGGTAAAGCTACTGTAGTGTTGTTAGCCAATACATCCGTGATCCTGAGCTCACTTGTGATCATAAAAATTTTCATATAATATGGGTAAGTTGCATAGATAGGTAGATGATAGATAGATAGATAGATGATAGATAGGAAGGAAGGACAGATGGATACAGATGATGAGTATACAATCCCTGAAGACTTGCTCATCTGATGGAAACCCTTTACTCACTGCTGAACTGACTCATCTCCTCTTGTGCCATCCATGTGGACTCTGTCCTTGCACCTAACATTTACTGTAGAAAAGCATGAAAGGAGTGCCCTGAGTTAATCATACAACTGCACTCTAAACACGTTGCAGACCCAAGAACTCAGAAAGCAGTGTACAGCCAATAATGACATTAACAGACAGACTGATCCTCAGAAAGTTCTGTGAATGGAAAGGAAGCATGTCCCTTGTGAAGGTTCCTGTGAAGGTGATAGGTTTGATTGCAAATACAAATACTGAAGGCTCTCCAAAATGTTGGCATTTGTTTATTTGTATGGCACAGTATGGTGGTCATGGAAACTCAAGCATATTTGAGGAACAAATTTTTGACACACGGAGGAGACCTACACCTCATGTGTGCACCTGAGTCATGTTCACTGGCCTCTGGGTTCCTGTATCCTCAAGGATCAAGTCGGTGTCTGGAATCTTCTGTGACTCCAGCACCCCTTCTATGGACCTTGGAGCACATGTTTTCAACTGAATGACTGACCATGCCCAACAGTGTTCCTCCCTGATGACTCAGCTCTTTGAAGAACTCGGAATGTGACATACCTCGACACTAGGATACTTAATGAGGAGAGGAAGCAGTTAGATCCCTACTCCAGACCAAGGCATCACTGGGGCTCCTGGGCTCCTCTCTAATTGCCTGTTCTTTGCAAGGCAAGTGAGAGAGCTAGGTGTATGTGTAGAGCCCCTCCCATCCAGGCTCTGCTTCTGTGTTCCCTGGAGACCTGATTGAGTGCTGCTGTGTACACATTCAGGTAGACATCTTCTGTTGAACCATAGGCCTCTAGCATCTGAGAAACACTGAGGTTTGATTTCATATAATACACTATGTTTTCATTTGTTCTGTCTAGTGCCAAAGCCAACGTGGCCATTAATCAAATAGAAAGTAATGTGATCACCATTATTGGCAGCAACACCTAATCAGAAAAGAAATAAAATATAACAGCAGAACACATTTTATATGTCATTTCATTTTAAATTATCTCAGTATAATATACATATAAATACTTTGCTAACATACAAATAGTAGTTTGTGTTGACTGTCTTTCCCGTATTTATCCTTATGTCCACCTGTTTTCATAATAAGTAGTAACCACAATATCTTAGTTTATATTTGCAAGTTCAGCTTACTGTACACTCCCACTTGCTTTATATTTTTGTGATAAACAGCATGGCCAAAGCAACGTGGGGAGAATAAGATAATGTTTCCTCTCACAACTCCCAGATCATACTCCATCACTGATGGAAGTCCTGGCCAAGGTAGGAACTGAATCAGAGACAGTGGGGGAATGCTGCTTTCTGGCTTGCTTCTTTTGGCTTTCTCAGAAACCTTACCACTCAGTCCTACCTGTCCAGTGCTGCCTGTACCACACACAGTGTCTGGACCCTCTTTTCTCAATTACTTATTGAGAAAACACCACACAGGCATAGCCATAGACCAGTCCTATCTAGGCAATTCTTCCTAGATGAGGTTTCCTCTTCCAAGGTGACTCTAGATTTGTGCTGAGTTGACAGCTAAAGGTAACTAGGGCACAGTTGAATTAAATGGTAACTATGTACATTGAATCACATTCTACACATTGGGGTCATGTAGAATGTAGTGATAGCCTGAATTCTTGCTGTATAATAAGATGGTTCTCTCTTACTAAGCACCTTCCATATATCATACATTGCACTAAAGGTAAATAAAATGCACTCTATTTTGCTGTATTAGGAGAGGTGGTTTTCATTAATGCCTCTACCTGGGAGATGAGAAAGCTCAACTTGAGAAAAGTTAATGAGCCTGTCCAATAACAAGATGTCAGTAAATCAGTAGATTACTAGACCAGATCTAATGCTCTGACATAAATAGAATGTAAAGACTTCATTTACATAATGTTTTGGAGAAAAAACCTGACTTTTCTTTGTTCTTATTTATTATGAACCATATCTTAAAAGAAAGAAAAGCATTTTTTTTACTTTTTGTCTTGTTTTTATGTTTTGATCCATCATTTATAAGCACTGTTGGTTTTTTTATTTGTTTTTATTTTGAGAATATCACCCATGTGTACAATGCAAAATATATACCCCTTATTTATCCCCTCCAATTGTTACTATATCCCCTAATACACCTCGTTTCTCAAAATTATGTCCTGTTTTTGAAGCCTACTAAATTCAGTCACTGTTGCCCATGTGTGCATGGTGTGACGCCATCCACAGGAGTAAGGGAAAACTACCAGTAACTACCCACTTCCAATAACTCCATGCCTTAGACACTCTTGAGTTTAGTAATAATAGTGTCCTGCTTCTCCCTTCCTACCGTGAAAACATTATAAGGAGATTACTCTGAGAATAAAACGAAAAGGAAACAAAATCATGTAAAAAAATATCAATCCGATGGTCTGGTTAAAGGTTAAAACACAGGAAAGAAAGAATTTACAAAGTGCCAAAGGCTGTATTGTGTGAGTATGGTTGCTTCCTAAGTTAACGCAACCCAAATCCCCTGAAAGGGCAGTAAGTGCTTTATAATGGAGAAGTAAAGGCAGCCTTACATACAGCAAAAATAATTCAAAGAGTAAAATAGACTTGAATGTTGTCTGCATTGTATTTCTTACTGGAATACCACACAAAGAATGAAGCAATGGACCAGAAGTTTGATCTAAAATATCAACAGGGAACAAAGGACATATTTATGTCCTAGATGTAAGAGGGGGTCACAAAGGGCCCAGTAATGTCAGGAAGAAAGACCTTGAAATCAATACCATCCAAAGAGATTCTGTGACAGTTAATCAGAGATGGCTGAACACATACAGGTGTGTTTTTATCCAGGAATGACACTGTGAATACATTTGGAAGCTAGTGAAATTGGCAAGTGGAACTTAGGGAGGTTTTGATGGACAAAATAATGGAAGGATTACATATCCCCTTGTTTTTTGTGTTAGCACACAGGAATCTACAAAAACACACCTCATATTTTTGCTATTTCCCAAATGAGAAAATCAAGAACCATGGAAAGCCAGTAGATGGGAGAGAAAGATCCTGTTCAGCGTTTCTACCCTGTTCCTGAGTAGTCCCTGTGCATGCTGGTCCTTCCAGAGCACATATCACTGAGGCTGGGGATGGGGGTGTTAGCTCCTAGCTCACCCCCACCCCACCAGCCCAGGGAAAGGAGCCTAAATAGACACATTCTATATTTGCCTTGAACTCGAGTTTTTATTTCTAGTGTGTCCATAGACTTTTACTCAGGCCAGAAATGTATAATCCAGGTCAGTTTTAAGGGGCCCCATTATCAGGGCAGAAACTATTTTAGATGTTTGTGATTCAGTTTTAAGTCTGAGGTGCACACAGTGCTGCCTGTTCACCAGCTTTGTCTTCCTGTGCTGGTTCAGGGGTAGGGTTCAGAACAAGGCCACCTGCTGTGCCTCTCCCTTCGCTCCTGTGTTTTCAAAAATTTAAGGTGATTTCAAAAATTTACTGTCTGCAAGTTGACAATATTCTGAGGGACACTAGAGACCATCTTCATAATTTTGTTTTTAAAAATGTTTTCATCCCAACTTCTGACACTACTAACATTTTTTCTGGGTGTA